TTGGAAGGTTCTGGGACATTTGTGTAATAAAGAAGTTATACAAAGATATGCAAGCCGATTTAGTTGGTGCAAAATCTAAGATAAGTCCTTTGGAATCGCAGAAAGCCACAGGGCCAATACGACAGTGGGGCGCTCACTTGGAAAGTCCCAAATAGAGAGGTAACACAGATCTTTGACAGTACTATATGCGGATTAATACTTGGAGAACTGGTTATAACTGAACGAGACTGAAGTGTTTGGCAAGGCACTTCACCAACCAGGCTGCTGGAGGAGTAACCAGAGGAAAAGGACCCAACTGTGGATACTAGGGGCAGGTCATAGCCCTTCTGGACCATCTGAATTGAAAGTTTGGGTTAGCTGGGATATGGGTAATAGTTTGTAAGTGTACTGGGGTTTGGGTGAACTCTATAAGGACAGATGTAGGTTGTGTAGCAACAATCAGACTATAGTTAAGTTAAAACATTACAAAAAAACTGGTAAGAACAAAACAGCCAAAGAATACTTCTACTATGAAAACTGGGGTGCAAGTGGTAAGCCTTAGCCTGTGCGTATCAACTGAAACTTAGGTCAGCCAGATTGTGGGTACAGAAGGTTTTAACAGATGATGCACTCAAGGATGAATCAGTTAATCATGCTGGTAGTTCTATAGGTGGCTCGCAACGATCTTAAAACTTGAACTGACTTATGTATCACATGTTCTAGGTGAGATTAGATGAATTGGCATTTGTCTGGAGCCTCCTTAATAAAGACACTACATGATTCTATAAAATCTAATAAAAGCAAAAAGCCAAAGAGGCTAACTTTAAAAAAAAAAAAAAAAAAAAAACAAATTGGATACAAAGATGTTGGTATTGCCTAATACAGAAGTAAAAAGATATTGGTATTGCTTTCGAATTACTTCAACTAAAAAATTTACTTATATAATTGTCTATAGTCTAAACCTTCTGTAATACCACTATTATATATAGTATCTATACTTTATAATTAGAGCTTCTTTCAGAAATTTTTATTCCAGAACTATGCTTGTACTTGGGTTTTTCATAGTGTTTTACATTTAATTATAGCTCCATAAGGCTATAGTAACAAATTCGAAAATTTGTTACTAGCTTAACTTAAACTATTAACCTTGTTTGTAAGATTTAGAAGCTTAACCAATAAGCTATGGGCCCACACACTATATATAAATCAATCTAAAAAACTGTAGTTAATTTTATTAAAAAATTTAGAGTATATATTAGCAAAGATAATATTAAAATTAAATAATATCAAAATTTTAATTTACTTTATTATAAAAATTCAAACTTTTTTAAAATGTTTATTTTAGCTTCTTTTTTATAGTTAGATTGAAATTTAAAGTTAGTATTTATAAAAAAAAATAGTATAGATAGATTTTAATAAGGTTTATATTTCAAATTAAGATCCTAAAGTTTAATATTATCCAATTTAGCATTATTTTCAATATATAGTGTAATAAAAAAAATAAATAAGCAGTTTATTAAATAAGATTTAATTTTAAAATATTTGAGCTAATTAAGTTTGAAATTATTAATATTATAAATAGGTTTGTGATTATAATTAAAATATAGCCAAGTTGATTTTTAATCAATTTGTTAACTAAATAAAAACTACTAAATAATTGCCAAAAATTTTTATTTAAAATTTTAAATTTTTTAAAAACTATATTTAATATTTTTAAAACTTTAAATTATTTAACATTATTTATCAATTCTATTCTTTTTAATTCAGAATTTATTTTTTTTTAATTTATAAAAAGAGGCCTATTTTTTTTATTAAAGTTAGAAGAATTAAGTTATATAAAATAATATCAACAAGTTGACTTTTTTATAAACTAGAAAAATGGACCCGTGAATTAAAAAGAATATGATCAAGTTTAATAAATATACAATATTGAGCAGACAACAGGAAATTTTTTTCGCTGCGTAGCAGCACAAGAGTGACATTAACTCCGATGAAAAATTTCCTGTTATTTGCCGTTTGCCCAATATTTATATTTTGCAAAACTGATTACGTAATTTCATGCAAAAAATATCATGGCAAAAAAATTCACATAATCATATGAAATTATTTAAATTTTATATATTTATAGAATTTAAATAAAAAAATTAAATTGGATCAGATAATTGTCAAGATCTTTATCCGACGTTTTAAAAATTTGTTAAAAAATATAAATATAAAAATTAAAAACTTTCAATCAAGTCCAAACTAACAATTGTCAAAAACAAAAAACCAATTAGAAATATGGCCAGGCCAAACTGAGTCTAATGTTGCGTTCCGGCCAAAGTCTTTTTCTGTAGGTTCAAACATTTAAACAAATAGGAACAAAATTCAGCATTGTTTACATTTACACAGTAATTTATTTTTTAATTAAATTAAATAACTGCTATATTATGATTGCTCAAATAATGCAGAGCTTATGCACATGAAAAAAATACCAAGAAAAAAGAAAAAGCCCACAGAATGACCATCTGTAGTATCATGTTTGATTGCTTGTGGTAGCATTCCCTGTATTAAATAGAGAAGTCAATTAATTGATTAAAGACAACGGTTGCTATAACGACAGAAAGAATTAACACCACAAACGTTGATGCAAATAACACCCATTAAACCACTGGTTGCGGCAAACAAAGCTCCATAAATGAAGTAGTGATTCCAACAACTGAAGAATGACTCGTTTAGGAATAGCCAGCCAATTAGAGCACCTAATGGTTGACTAAAACCACCCAAAATGCTAGCGTATAGAAAAGCCTTTATTCGTGAACGCGTTGCGATATATATAGGGAGAGCGATAGTGAGACCTTCCACTATATTATGTAAGGCAATAGCTGCGAATAGGGAAATACCAAGGGAACGAGATGCTTTAGAAGAAACGAAAGTTATAAGACCCTCTACAAAAAAATACCAAACATAAATTAGATTGTCATGATTGCAATAATAATCAAGGTTATGGTTATTGGTCAAATAGTCATTGATCAGACAGGCCAGATAAGTTAGTAAATAGACTGATTTGTTTTCTACCCACACAAAAATTTAATATTTAATAATTGTATATATTCTATATGGGGAATGGACTAGTAAACCCCCTTTCGACAGATAATGTCGAAGGGATTTTTCTTAGTCCATTTCCCATATACAATTTTACCAGACCGGGCATCAGTCAAATTGGACAAGATTTTATTAGACTATTGACCCAACCATGAATGATAATCCAAATACCTGGAAATTTATGAATAGAGATTGCTAAAGCAGTTTGAATGCCTATTTGCATTAACTTTGCATTTTCATGATCGGGCCTTGAATGCGGCGGATTTTGAAGGTCGTGATGGTCAGAAGAATTGGAACTTTCATCACTGTCACTATCCACAAAAATGGCGTGCCTGTCTGAGCTGTCAGCCTCACGAATATCCGGTATATTGCAGTAATTATCTTTAGATATATCATCAGTGCGTTCATCCAAGTTATTTTTTAACAAGGGTGAATTTTCGTTAAGATTATTGACAAAATTTAAACTATTCTTTTTTAAAATTTTGCGTATTGGAGTATCATTGTGGTGGTGATGATGATGAAAGTCCGCCGCGAAATGATGAATCAGACGATTGATCAAAGCAGAACCAATAACGCCCAAGAAGTAAAAGAGGACCATGTAGAAACTAGAGTGTCCACTGGAGATTTCACTTTCACCAGCCTTAAAGTTTTTCTTTGACTCAGGTAACAAGGTAAAAAAGCTTGAAAACAGCTGAAAAAATTTATTTAAATGAGAAAATTTTCTAGAAAGTATGATTAAATTTTAAATGATACAGACCAATACTCCTGATCCGAGTGCAAATGATGCCACCATAAAATTTAAATTTTGCTTATGTTTAATACCCTTTAACTTTGGAATAAAGTGTTCTGAAAAGACTGCGGAGGCTGAAGCATGGATATGTAAATATATATCAACAAAGAAATTGTAAAAATAACATTTGACAATTCAGAATAAATTTAATATATTTCAACACACCTCCTATACAACAAGCAAAACCGGAAGCAATTGCTAACAGCCACCCTTGAAGATTGCTGCCCTGGTCAGGTATCATGGAACAATTATACATATTGAAATGCTTTTTCTCAAATAAATACTATACAGCAATGAACTCGCATATGACAGCGAATTTTTTTATCAAAGAAGAAGTATTTTACGAAAATTGTGAGAAATGTCTTATTTAATATTATTTAATTTTAGCTGTTAGAGCCGAAGGGTATGCAAAAGAATGAAAACCTGGAAGGTACACATTATGTACCTCACAAGTTGTAAACCCAAAAATTGGATCACCGTATTGGTAGATCACAAAAATTCCGAGTTATGTGTAACTTCCGATTAACCAAAGATGGAATATTGTCCCCCCACTATTTTATTAATATATTTGTTTGAGTACCTCAAAGGTTAACTTTGTACGTACGTGTGCATTTTAAAAGTAAGTCCAAACTCTTCATATTGCATTAAGTCCCAAGGTTGGTAAGGCTGACAACGACATTGCCAAAGTCAAGATTAATGCTTTGATTTGTATTAGTTACTTTCCTTTTATAACTGAGTCAACGCCGTAATTGAGCTTCTCCTTAGAACATATTCTTGCTTTAATTTGATTGTACAATACGTAAATTGAGTAACTCATTTAAAATCAAAATTTTCTTCTATATGCAGTTACGATTGTTGGATTATGTATACGTACATACGTACACACGCAGGAACTGTCGAAATAAGTTTAAATTTGGATTGAATTCTGATAAGTTTAAAGATCTCTACAATGAATTCGAAATTGTGTTTCAAGAGGTAATTCGAGTACATTGAGGACATTAATCATATTATAAATTTAGAAAAATAGGTATTTGTTTAACTCTCATTTACAAGTAATTTACAAATACTCTTGTTGATAACTAACAATCGAAAATTTGCAAGTTTACCGATTTTTAGGGGGCCTATTATTATCATACTTTACGAACGACAAATGAAAGCTCAAAACATTTAAATCCCTGAAATTACATAATCCTAACACTTTCA